ACACCTCCCTATTTTTTTAGGTATTTGGCATATTTTATGACATTTTTCATTTAAGAGAAATTTTTGTTTGCAACATTTTTTTTCTCGAGTCCTCGTTTTTGTGATTTAGTTCTTTATTTATTCCACTTTTCTATATTTTCCCCATCAGGACTGCGGATACCTGGTTTTATTTATTTACTTTAATAAATGTGCCCATCGGGGCCGCGGATACCTGCTTTTAATTTTTTTCCCCTCCTTCGCCCATCGGGGCCTCGGATACCGGCTATGTCCTCCTTTTCCCCAAACCATTGGCCCATCGGGGCCTAGGATACCTGCTTTAAAAAAAAATTATTTGTTATGATTGCCCATCGGGGCTTCGGATACCTGCTATAATTTTTTTTTCTTGCCCATCGGGGCTGCGGATACCTGCTTAGATTTTTTTTTTTTAGTCGCTCGAAATGTTTTCTGTGGTTTGTTATGCTATCTGCAATGTCTACAAATTCTTGCTGCTAATCTTTGGTGTTGTGTGAGTCTATATCTCTGGCTGGGAGATGACTGCAGTTAGGCTAAGGGGTTGGTTAGGTTAGGGAGGAAAATAATGGCGACTCTAAGTTCGCTGCGGAGCTCAGCGGATGGTAATTGGTTGCGACTGTTCTAAATTAGAGAGGCTAGAGGCCTGCGGTGCTTATTGTGAATGGCCTGATTTGCATGCATTGTGTTCTCCTGGAGGTATAATAGAAGAATAGGATAGTCTGCGCCGCATTACCCGGGGCTACTTGGAAATGAGTTCGAGACGGCTTACAGGGAGGGGCCAAAATGGCGCCGTGGCATTGCTCAGCATGGCGGGCGGTCTGCTTTGTTAGTGTCGAAAATGGCGGGTCCAGTTTTGTGGAAGGCCACATCACGGTAGTGTCTTTGGGTAGTGTCTTTGTTCGGATGCACGGCGCGGCGGTGGAAATATTCTGTTACATGGCGTAAGATGGCGGCGCCAGGACCCGGCGTGGTGTCAAAAATGGCGGAATATGGCGGTTGCCGCGAGCGTTGCCGGATGAGTCATGGCGGCCTTTGTCTTTGCAGCAGGCATTTCCGGGCAGGTTTTGCCGCAGGGACATATAAGGAAGGTCTTGGCTCGTGGTTAAGGACCGTCCTGGCATTTGCGCGGGCTTTGCTTGCGGTGTGCCTGCCGCCTTGTTAAACATGGCGCGCGCTTCCGGTTTGCTGCAAAAAAGTGAAAGGCGGGATGATCGTCGTCGCCCGACCCACCGGATCAGACCCGGTGGAACAAGTGGGCACAGCCAATTAATGGAGAATGGAATTAGACCACTACCGTGGCTCCTGGCTGTCCAATTTTTCCGGAGGCAGAAGCTGAGGGGCCACTTACGTAACATCTGCTCCCGGCTGTGGTGCTCAAGGTCGTTCCAAGGACGTCTGGCCGGTCCGGCTCCGTCCCCTCCAGCGCTGCCTCTGGGCTCTGCCACCATGTGCGCCAGGCCAGGGCTCCATGCCTACCACGTGTAAAACATGGCGCTGAGTCCAACATGGCGGCGAGTCGTGGCAAGGACCAAAATGGATCTTTGGCCAACAGGTGGCAGAAGAGGAATCCCTCCATTCTTCAAGAGGAACACCTACCCTGTGGCTAATGCTGGGGTTGGATTTTGAATTCTACTTATTTCTTGGATGTCAGCTATAAATAGTTCAATTACGTAGTTTGCTAGGGTGATAATTAAGCCTCGAGTGACTATTATGGCATTGTTTGTAGGCTTCAATTAGAATTAATAAGCTCATTTTGGCGGCCCTTAAAGTTTATTTCTTTTTTTTATAAAAATGACATACTTAATTTTTTGTATATAAGATATCCAAATAATTTATAAATTTTATAAATATATAAAAGTCAAATAACATTTTCCACTAATCTCTTTTACTTTGAGATTGACTTAATAAACTACTTCACTTTGGATTTTTCAAGTCTTCTAGCACATAAAAAGTTAATTAAAAAGTTAATTTTATGACAGAATAAAAAAAATATTTAAAGGTCCATTCCACTTCAGGCCTTGCTTCGTTCCCATCTTTAATGCTGCACTAAATTGACTGTCTAACCTATCAGACAGATAACTTGAATTGCTGTGGACTTGTTTCCTCTATTCAAACTTACCTTGGGGTATTAAATGCCCATATAACCAATATTGTGGTTCTCTGCCTCTACAGTCCCCAGTTCCTCCTCCCCTGCTCTCACAACCCCTACATTTAGCCCCAGCCCTTACCTCCTACCCCCAGCCTTGCCTAAGCCCTGGCCCCAGCCCCAGCCCCGGCCCCGGCCCCGGCCCCGGCCCCAGCCCCAGCCCCAGCCCCAGCCCCAGCCCCAGCCCCAGCCCGTCCTACCCCAGTTATTTCCTTCAGCCCTGCTCCCTAAATCACATACTGTGCTGACCACTTAAAGTCTTTGCACAGAGTGAAATTCTAATTATCCATAATCCCGCCCATCATATTATATCCCAGTCAAAAACACATTTGCATTAATCGTGGATGCAGAAAAATCCAAGTCTTTTAGTCCTGTGCAAAAAAAAGAAAGAAAAGAAAAGGAATCTTACCCCATCACACTGTCTAGAAGTGACTGTTGTTCAAGAATTCAGCTCTGAGACAATTTTCACATACGTATCTGGAGTACTTTTCATTTAAAAGGTCCAAGGCATCCCATTTGGTAGGTATAACGTGGTCCCATTACTCAAGGATTCTTCTTTTTAGTTGATATCATCCATATTTGTATTTGTAATCCTGCGCAAAATTACAATCTCCAATAACTCCCTTTTTTAACTTGTATCCCTTACTGCATTACCGCAGAGGATTCTTCCGACAGTTAATGTGCTTATATGCCACTTCGGTTTTTATCTCACTTTGGAACCCAGGGATCCTCAGTTTGCATTAAAACAGATCCTTTGGGGCAGTTAATGTGCTTAACTGCTCTACTATCTTTATGCTACTATAGCTTTCACCCACCCTTATTTTGCAGTACAATACAAGAGGTTACATGCGGCAGTTGATGGTATTTAAATGATGGCACTACTGTCCTTATGTTACTATAGAACCCATCTAATCTCACTTTGCATTAAAGCAGCCCTGGGGCAGTAAATGTGCTTAAATTCTACTAGTGTCATCTTTATGTCACTGTAGAACCAATCTGTCCTCATTTTGCATTAAAACATAGGGTCAATGGGGCAGTTAATGTACTTAAATGCAACTACAGTGCTTATGCCACTCTAAAACCCATATATCTTTGCATTAAAACAGGGTCCTTGGGGCAGTTAATGTATTTAAATGCCACTCCTGTCCTTGTGTTAAAGTGGACCTCATATATCCTCACCTTGCATTTAAACAGTCTTAGACACAGTTGATGTGTTTAAATGCCTCTGTTGTGCTTATGTCACTATAGGACCCATGAACTTTGATTTTTGACTTAAAACCCAGTGCTTGGGGTAGTTAATGTGCTTAAATGCCCCTATTGCCATTATGTTAATGTGGAACCTACCCATCCTCATTTTGCATTAAAATAAGGGGTCCTTGGGGCAGTTAATGTGCATAAATGGCAATACTGTTCTTTGTCACTCTGGAACCCATACTTACTTTGAGTATGATTTAAAAAGGAGTGCTTGGGGCAGTTAATGTTAATGTGGAACCCACCCATTCTTATTTTGCATAAAAATATGGGGACCTTGGGGCAGTTAATGTGCATAAATGCCATTTCTGTCCTTATGTTAAGGTGGAACTGAACACATACTCACTTCCCATTAAAACAGTCCTAGAGGGAGTTAAAGTTCTCAAATGCTACTCCTGTGCTTAGGTTAGTGAGGAACCCAACTATCCTCACTTTGCATTAAAACAGAGGATCCTTGGTGCAATTGATGTACTTAAATGCAACTACCTTGCTTATGTTACTCTAGAACTCCTACTCCTCACTTTGCATTAAAACAGGGTCCTTGGGGCAGTTAATGTGCTTAAATGCCACTGCTCCCTCTGTTAAGGTGACATTGACACATCCTCACTTCGCATTTAAACAGTCCTAGAGGCAGTTGATGTATTTAAATGCCTCTATTGTGCTTATGTCACTATAGGACCCATGCATCCTCACTTTGCATCAAAACAGGGAGTCCTTGGTGGCAGTTAATGTGCTTAAATGCTAATACTGTTCTTATGTCACTCTGGAATCCATAATTACTTTGATTTTGATTTAAAAACGAGTGTTTGGGGCAGTTAACGTGCTTGAATGCCCCTATTGCCATGATGTTAATGTGGAACCCACCCATCCTCATTTTGCATAAAAATAGGGGGACTTTGGGGCAGTTAATGTGCATAAATGCCATTTTTGTCCTTACGTTAAGGTGGAACTGAACACATACTTCCCATTAAAACAGTCCTAGAGGGAGTTAATGTTCTCCAATGCTACTCCTGTGCTTAGGTTATTAGTGAGGAACCCAACTATCCTCACTTTGCATTAAAACAGAGGATCCTTGGTGCACTTGATGTACTTAAATGCAACTACCGAGCTTATATCACAATAGAGCCATTACACACTCTGATTTTGATGGCAGTTAATGTGCTTAAATGCCACTGCTGTTATTATCTTGCTTTGCAACCCACCCTTCCGCAATTTGAATTAAAACTGGGTGCTCAGTGCAGTTGATGTGCTATTGTGCTTATGTCACTCTAGAACCCATGTATCCTCACTTTTCATTAAAACAGGGTCCTTAGGGCAGTGAATGTGTTTATATGCCGCCACTGCTTTTTAGTGTGGAACCTGCTCATCCTCACTTTGCATTAAAACAAGGGGTGCTTGGGCAGTTAATGTGCGTAAATGCCACTACTGTCCTTGAACCCATACTCACTTTGATTTTTATTTAAAACAGGTGTTTGGTAGTTAATGTGCTTAAATGCCAGTACTGTGCTTATATCATTATAGAATCTATCTATCCTCACTTTGCATTAAAGTAGAGGGTCTTCAAGCCACTGCTGTCTTTATGTTAAGGTGGAATCCACCTATCCTCACTGTATTAAAACAGTCCTGGGGGCAGTTAATGTGTTTAATGTCACACCTGTCCTTAGGTCAATATGGAACCCACTCATCCACACTTTGCATTAAAACAGGTGGCAGTTAATATGCTTAAAAATGCCACAAGTGTCCCTATGTCACTATAGAACCCAGACTCACTTTGATTTGATTTAAAAGAGTCCTTGGGGCACATAATGTGCTTCAGTGCCACTACTCCCCTTAAGTTAAGGTGGAACCCACCCATCCTAATAGCATTGGGACAGTTAATGTGTTCAAGTTATGCCATTACTGCTTTTTAGTGTGGAACTCAAGGCATCCGCCCTTTGCATTAAAATACTCCCTGGGGCAGGAAATGTGCTGAAATACCATTATTGTCCTTATCTTACTTTGCAACCCACCCATTCTCACTTGGCCTTAAGAGGGTCCTTGGGGCAGTTGATGTGCTTAAAAGTAACTGCTGTCCTTATGTTAAGGTAGAACTCACATGTCCTCATTTTGCATTTAAACAGTCCTAGAGGCAGGTGTTGTACTTAAATGCCACTAGTGTACCCTATGCCACTATAGAACCCATATTCACTTTGTGATTTAAAACAAGAGTCCTTGGGGCAGTTAATGTGCATCAATGCCACTAAAGACCCCATATCACTCTAGAACCCATCTATCCTCACTTTGCCTTAAAACAGGGGGTCCTTGGAGCAGTTAATGTGCTTAAATGCCAGTACTGTTCTTAAGTCACTATAAAACCCAAAATTACTTTGTTTTTGATTTAAAACAGAGTGCTTGGGGCAATTAATGTGTTTAAATGCATCTATTGCCATTATGTTAATGCGAAACCCACCCATCCTTTGCATTAAAACAATTTCTGGGGCAGGAAATGTGCTTAAAATGCCTCTACTGCCCTTACCTTACTCTGCAACCCGCCCATCCTCACTTGGCCTTAAAAGAGGGTACTTGGTGCAGTTAATGCTTCAATGCAGCTACTTTGCTTATGTCACTCTAGAACCCAAATATACTCATTTTGCATTAAAACGGGGTCCTTGGGGCAGTTAATGTGCTTAAATGCCACTAGTGCCTCTTAGTGTGGAACCCACTCATTCTCACTTTGCACTAAAACAGTCCTGGGGCGGTTAATGTGCTTAAATGCCACTACTGTCCTTATCTTATTTTGCAACCCACCCAACCTCATTTTGAATTGAAACAGGGGTCCTTGGAGCAGTTAATGTGCATAAAGGCCACTAGTGTCACTATGGAACCTATATTTGTTTTGATTTTGATTTAAAACAGAGACCTTGGGGCACTTAATGTGCTTCAATGGCACTAACATCCCTATGTCACTATAGAACCCACCCAACCTCACTTTGCATTAAAACGGGGTCCTTGGGGCAGTTAATGTGCATAAATGCCAGTACTGTTCTTATGTCACTATAGAACCCAGACTCACTTTGATTTTGATTTAAAACAGAGTCTTGGGGGCACTTAATTTGCCTCAATGCCACTACTGCTCTTAAGTTAAGGTGGAATCCACCCATCCTAAAATTGCATTAAAGCAGAGGGTCTTCAGGCCAGTTAATGTGTTCAAGTTATGCCATTACTACTTTTTAGTGTGGAACCCACCCATCGTACTTTGCATTAAAACACTCCCTGGGGCAGGAAATGTGCCTACGTGCCACTACTGTCCTTATCTTACTTTGCAACCCACCCATCCTCACTTTGAATTAAAACAGAGGGTTACTTGCGTAGTTAATGCGCTTAAGTGCAACCACTGTGCTATGTCACTGTAGGACCCATATATCCTCACTTTGCATTGAAACAGGGGGTCCTTGGACCAGTTAATGTCATAAATTGTACTGCTGTCCTTATGTTACTATACAACCTATTATCATATTGATTTTGATTTAAAACCGAGTCCTTTGGGCAGTTAATGTGCCTGAGTGCCACTACTGTTCTTATGTCATTATAGAACTCATACTCATTTTGATTTTGATTTAAAAGAGTTCTTGGGGCAGTTAATATACTTAAATGCCACTACTGTCCTTATCTTACTTTGCAACCCGCCCATCCTCACTTGGCCTTAAAAGAGGGTACTTGGTGCAGTTAATGCTTCAATGTAGCCACTGTGCTTATGTCACTCTAGAACCCAAATATACTCATTTTGCATTAAAACGGGGTCCTTGGGGCAGTTAATGTGCTTAAATGCCACTAGTGCCTCTTAGTGTGGAACCCACTCATTCTCTACACTAAAACAGTCCTGGGGCAGTTAATGTGCATAAATGCCACTAGTGTCCCTATGTCATTATGGAACTCATATTTGCTTTGATTTTGATTTAAAACAGAGACCTTGAGGCAGTTAATATGCTTCAATGCCACTAATGTTCCCATGTCACTATAGAACCCACCCATTCTCACTTTGCATTAAAACGTGGTTCTTGGGGCAGTTAATGTGCTTCAATGGCACTAACGTCCCCATGTCACTATAGAACCCATACTCAACTTTGAGTTTGAATAAAAACAGAGTGCTTGTGACACTTAATGTTAAGGTGGAACCCACTCATCCTAACTGCAGTAAAGCAGAGGGTCTTTGGGGCAGTTGGGTGCTTAAATGCCACTATAGAACCCATCTGTCTTCACTTCGTATTAAAACTGAAGGACCTTGTGACTGTTACTCTGGTCACTTGTTTCCTTCCATCCCTCTGCATTGCCTGGGAGCAGATATGTTATTGAAATGTGCTTATTTGCATGGTGTGGCACCTTCTTTTTGTCTCTTTCTATTTCCCCCCACTCCCTTTGCAGTATAGCAGAGGATACTTGGGCCTGTTAATGGGCTTAATTATAGAATCCCATGCACTCCCAGGCAGTTTACATTTACTAGACATATATTTGGTTCTGTGAAATTGCCTAATTGCAGCAGTGGTCCCTTTTGTCTATGTTCCCATCTACCTCCTAGCCCTTTTAAAATGCCTGGATGGGCATTTGGCACTGTCAGTGTGCTCAATTGAAGTTGTGGTCCATTCTGTAATTCCAGGATCACATCCTGCCTTTTCCCTTTTCGTTACCTAGGAGCGTTTTTTGGAACTGTTAAAAGTAGTCACTTGGAGCTACAGTTCCTTCTGTTAGTCTAAGATCCCATCCCCCCTCTTCCCCATCTCACTTGGCATTACAACAGCGGATATTTGGGACTGTTAATGTGCTTAAAAGCAGCTATAGTCCCTTTCTGGAGTCTGGGATCCATCCAGGCCCTTGAATATCTTTTGCATTACCATAGAAAGTACTTGGGCCTGCAATTGTGGTCCCTTTTGTTAGTTTAGAAACATAATGACTTTTCACTTTCTTAACATCATCTGGAAGTCATTGTAGAGATAAAGTTCTAATTGTAACTGTAGCCCCTTTTGTCAATCTAATCCCTTTTCTCCTACCTCATATGCATTACAACATAGGGTTCTTGGAACTGTGAAGGTGTGTCACATCTATTAAATTTTACAAAAGAGGATCTGAACACTGAAACTCCTCCTTTTGCACCATTTATGAGGAATATTGCTTTTATCCTCTCTCCTCTGCAGTAGATACAGGCCTCACTCATTTTCCTTACATTTAGTAGTGGATGCCCTTTACTAAGGACTTTTGTACTAATATAGTTAAAAGTGAGTCATAAGTAGTTGACCACAATTATATCTTTTATGAAAGATCCATGTACCCTCTTCAGTTTACAATAAGGTGTATTAATTAACTTGTTACTATTTTTTTTTTCTGGGATTGTTTATGTGCAGAATTCCAGTATTTATGGTCACTCCCTTTAAACTAATATCCCACTGTTTCTATATTATAACAGGGGATGCTAGAGACTGAAAGTTATTCTCTTGAGACTTTTAATGTCCATGTTCTTTCCCGATAAGCTAATATCCTGATTTCTTAGTATTGTAGCTGGGGTACTAGCTACCTAAAGTCTTCTCGATAATAAAAGTGGAAAATTGTAGTTGTGTCTCATCCTCACCATATTTCCTTTGCACCAGGGAAGCTGACCAATTATGGCTGCTTCTCTTGTACAGTTTAAATGTGCATAATTACAGTAATCCATGCTCCCTTATAGGATCCCATTTCCTTGCCCCAAGATTCACTCTCCTGGACTGTTAATGTGCATAATTACATTTGCTCCTGTACCTGTACACCAGGTCAGGCATCTCCCCCATCATATTTATATTCTAGCAGGAGGTGCCTACTACTAAAAGACCTCACTGATGCAGTTAATGTACACAACTTTTATCTTGTACACACTCTCAGTAGTCCATAATTGTGCATTTTCAATCTCTTGCACTTGTGGAAGCAGAGGTTACTGACCTAAAAGCCCTCTCTTAGGGGACTGTGGATATGTTTAATTAGTTGTCCATAATCCTTCGAATTAACTTGGGTTCTGACTCTTCATACCCTCTTTGCGTGGAGTAATGTCCACTTAAGCCCCTTTCTTGAAATATTAATGTGTATAATAATTATTTTAAAATCCTTTCTCTTTTTACTACCTTTGAAGTACCACTGGCATTCTGACTCTGAAGGGCCCACTTCTTAGCCTATTAATGTGATTGTGGTTGTCTGGGTTCCTCTGTACTACACAACACCTCCTTTCCCTATTCCCTTTCAGCATTGAGTGCCCTCTCCACAAGGCTGTTAACACCTGGACAGTCAAGGTGTGAAATTATAGTTGATTACAGCCTTACACTTGGGACATTAATGTGTATAATTGCACATGGCTCATCCCATTTTAATAAGATCATATATCCTCTCAGATCCCTATTACAGTATAGCAAGGATACTGATCACATGAAAAGGTCTCTTTTCATGGCTTATTGTACATAATTGCATTTACACTAGATAAGGACACCCCTCTTCTTATTCCCTTAGCCTTTTAGCAAGGAGTGCCCACTACTTTAAGATTTTTTATATTGGTACAAGGTACAAGGTTTTAATTAGCTACATCATATCCTTTGGACATTAATGTACATAATTTCAACTTGGTTCATCCTACCCTATTGCCCTCTGTTGGCAGTATACCATAGTTGCTGAACCCTAAGTCCCCTTTTCTTGGCCTGTTAATGTGTATAATTCTATTTGTCTGGGTTCTTGTTCACTAGACAAGGACAATGAAACACCACATACCCCAAACTCCCTCTGCCTTCTAGTAGGTAGTACCGACTATCAAGACCTTTACATTTGGACAGTTAATGTGCAGAATTGCTGTTTTCCATAGCCCTATCACTTCCAGGACTGTATTGTATCTCCTTTGCACTACTGCAGGGGATACTGTTTTTTCTCCAAGGCCCCTTCTAGTGGATTGGTACTATACATATTGAAATTATCTGTTGTCTTCATCAGTAGACACCCCGTGGCGCCCCCCTCCCCCCTTCCCTTTGCAGTACAGCAGAGTGCTGATCAATCAAAGCCCTCATTTGGACTGTTAATATCTGCAGTTACATTTTCTCCTGTTCTCCGCACTAGATAAGCACACCACCTACTTCCTTAACATTTTCATCAGACAGTGCCCACTACTCAAAAGATTTGTTCACTTGAAAGTTTCATGTGCACCAATGTAAGTTTGAAAGTAAGTCTTATATCAGACTGGCTGTACCCTCCTTGCTTTAGAGCAAGGAGATGCTATTCAATGGGTCCCTCTCCCCTTTATACTTTAATGTACATAACTGCAATTGTCTTTGCTTCTGTAGGAGTAGGATTGCATCTCCTCATTCCCCCTTTGTATTAGGGGCATATTAACTATGAATGAGTTCTTCTATTGAGATTATTAATGTGCATAATTAATTGTATTTGTCCGTGGGCCTATGCAGTAGGAAAGGTGCTGTGCTCTATGCCCTTACCACTGCCTTTGAATTACTGCTGAAGAACGCCATGACCTCAGCTCTTCTGATTAGATGGGATTCCATACTTTCTTTGTATACATCATGTATGCCCTCTTCTGTTAGAATAGGATGCCATTCTATTATACCCCCTTTACATTACTGCAGCGGCTGCTGACCACACAAAACCTCTGCAAATAGACACAATGGCAAATTAGCAATGGTTTTGTCCTCCCTGATCTTATTAGGCAAGTACTCCCAGCCCCAATTTCTCATGGCATTATAAAGTATAAACATTTCAGTATGCCCTTCAAATAACAACCCATATTCCCACTCCTTTTGCAATGCTCCAGGGCATACATTTTCCAAGTAGTCCTGGTCCTACCCTTATCTCCCCTCTCCTTACCTCATGCTTGTCCTTGGACCCTTCCGTGGACCATTCATAATCACAATTTCAAGGTCGCCATGTTCCAGCCGTCAGATAGCATTGTGGTCTCTCATCCTTCCTGCCCCAGCCCTGCTTTACCCCGCCCTTTTGCATTGCTGGTGGGGAATGTTGATTGGGCAAGGCCCTTTCACTTGGATTTAAATGTTAACAATCCCAGATGTCATTGGTTTATCCAGTTTATATTGCTGTGGTGCTTCAGTTGCACTTTACATAGCCCTGCCCCTCTGACATGGACCCCTCCATTTCTCTTTTTGCATTGCTTTTAAGTAATGATGACTACCCTAAGGCCCTTCTGTGTTTTTACTTAACACAGTACTGATTGTCCCATTTTTCAACCCATCAACTCAAGACCTCCCTACCACTTTGATGTTGTATTTGTGCAGTGTTGATTACCAAAAGCAGGCCTGAACTAGGTGGATGGACCTTCACTCATTTTCTTGTATTTGTTAATAATCCGAATTCCAATTGTCCTATTCTTGGGACAGGAGTTATCTCTGCCCACCTGTGTTACTGCTTTACTGGGCAAAGTGGTCAAGGCAAGGCAAGCCCAAGGAGCTGGATTGCCACCCTTTACATTCTGGATTTTCAATATATACTATATAAGTCTCAGTTGGGAGTTGTCTCACCAGGAAGGAACGTTAGCACTATCTGCATTTTTCCTTCCAAAGCAGGTTGCCTGGCTGATAATTTCTCCTCTTTGTATATTGCTATTCTACAGAGTCAATTGCCAGGATACAACCAAAAGTTATGGCTAATTTTTATTTAAAAAGACAACTGAATTCCAAGGTGGAATTGATAAACTGGGCATTAAAATTTTGAAGTTAAAACCCCATTTATACCATGTACCTGATGACCAGTGTCTCTCATTTTACTAAGGGTGGTGGGTCTGTGGATAGACCACTGTGACTCTTGTTATTCCAAAGGAGTTCTAGAATGGAACTCAAGACCAACATCTTTGAGCTCTACCACCATTCTAAAACCATGCTGTTTGGGTTTTACCACCATTCACTTTTAGAAAAACTACCTAAATTTCCTAACCCTTAAATTTCTTCATCTGGAATACCAACCAGCCCCTACTTATTTCAAGAAGATAACTGTAAAAGGATGAAATTAGACAACATATACTGAGGTGCTTTTAAAAACCACAGATCACCTTATTTGATTAATCTATTACATACTGAGGACTTAAAAATGATGGAACCTGTTTCCCTGTTTTATATAAAAAGAATAGTAAGCTAGCCATTCTTCTGTATATAAACTTGTTTGACAGTGACCTGCCTGGTAAAAACGATTAGCTTAGCCTCTAGTGTACAGGTTTTGATGGCAGAGAAGTATTTAATAAGGAACTTCTGAAGCAAATAACTAGTCATTACAATAGCAGTTCTTTGTAATCACTGCAAAAGAATACTATTCCTCTGAGAAGGATGTCAAAAGGTCAGCCCAGGTCAGAGTGCAGTTTGTACTTCTAGCTCCTTGGACAGCTGTAAGAAGAGTCTCTGGCTCTTTAGAATTCTGTAAGTACTATTTTGTAGTTACTAAGTAATCTTTTCCCTGTTCTGTTTTCTCTTAGATGCTACTCAGAGGTTTCCTGTTAAGTTTCTTTTCCAATTCTCACCTCATCTGCAAATATAATCTCACCATATGAGTTAACCAACAGAATTATAAGAATTAATATTGTGTACCTGGTCCTATGCTAGGTTATGCTTAAGTGAGGGTTAGAAATGATATAGTCCTATATATAATCTCATGCCCTAGATGGCTGTATTGTTGAGCTAATATAAACACACTTGAAATAATTTTAGGAAATGATAATCAAGTGCTGTCTTGTATGAATTATGTTAAACTTTTATAAAGGGAACCCACCAGGGTTTGAAGTTGACAGGGTAAATTTAAAGGAGTTGAGTTTATTTTTGTCTCTTTGGTTCAGAATATGATTAATATTGCACCCATCTGGGTAGTCCAATTGATTTATTTAGTGCCATTTGGATTTTACTTCCTTTGTAGGCATGGAAATTGATTAAAGAGATAAGGCCTAGTCATTGTGTTTAGCTACATGCCATATTGTTGGTTGTTAAATCTCATAGGTTTGAGCTTTTCAAGGTTCTGGGATTGAGGATATAAATCTGATATATTGTCTTTTTGCATCTTTTTATTCTATCTCTGTCCCTGGACAGATGAGAGCTGATGCCTTTTTAGTTTGAGATTTATGGAACCTGTTTGGCAAGAGGGCAACAGAGAAGCATAATTTTTATTAAAAAAACATGATCTTGCCTACTTTATGATCAAGTGAATATACCTTCTTCCCCTTTGCCTTTTTTCAATAGGTAGCTTGGTAAGCAAAAAAGCTTAGCCTCCCTGATGTAAAACAAACATAAAAGTGCAGCTGAAAAATATTAACATCAACTTTGAAACATTTTTTGTTAAGATCAATATATCCTAGCAAGAGCAAGCAGAATCATAATGTGCTAGGCTTCTCTTACTGCCCATTTTAATTCATATCCATATTTCCTCACAGCTAAATGTCTAAAGACATTATTTGTCTGATTGACTGGGAATAATATATAAATATTCCTGAGCCTTTTTGAAAGCATGGTATGTGCCATTATTTCTCAAACTGAAGTTCCACAGGAACAAAATTCTTTGAGATCATAAAGAACATGTGTTTTGAGGAACACTGACTTAAGAAAGTTATTTGAAATGTAAACATGTTTCCCTAGTTCAATATATCTTGTGAAAGATATATATATAAAATGTTTTATATTATTTATGTAGCTGGGTATCCATGAGGATATGTCCACAAAACTCCAGGGTTATTATCACCCCAATATGAGAAACACTGGTCTATACTTATGAGATCTTTCATTGCTACTAATCAAATGATCATTTGGTGTTAATATATAACTATAACTATTTATTGGAATTTGTTTTAAAGGGATGAATTCTGAGCCAGTTCTGAAGCACTACTTAGGAATGATGGTCAGTTGTAGGTGGATTGAAGCCTGCACTAGAAAACATCTAAAGGTAAATTTTGAAGTTGTCTTTCAATTCATTGCTTGAAATAAAATCTCTAGTAGCTGTACAAACAGGTACCCTGGCTCTATCCAGTTTGGCTCAGTGGATAAAACATTAGCCCTTGGGCTGAGAGGGAGGGTCTCAGGTTTGATTCTGCTCAAAGGCATGTACCTTGGCTCCAGGCTTAATCCCTGGCCTCGGGTCAGGGGCATGAGGGAGGCAACCAATCTTATGTGTCTCCCACATTGATGTTTCTCTTTTTCTGTCCCTCCTTCTCCCTGAAAAATATCCTTGAGTGAGGATTAACAAAAAAAGAGATACTCTGGAAATGTGGGCATCTTCAAAATTGAGAAAAATTGTGTTAACAGAGATTGTTGAGTTATTGGGACAGGTACTGGAATAATAACAATACCAAAGGCATGTTTTATGTCAAGGAATTTGCTCTCATGGAGGATGCAGAAATGAACAAATCATTATAATGTTGGGCAATTTGGTGAGTACCATAATTTGGGAAATTCTGTGGGACAGAGGAAGAAGATTGGGTGGAAATACTGAGTTAAGTGATTGTGCCCTTAGGGTGTACGTTGGTCAGTAGTCTCAGGGGAAAGTAGGCCTGTGAGCTGAAGCCTTACAGGCTCCACCCTTAATTACTCCTTCAAGTGCATTTTAATGAAGAGCATGCTCTCTTAGATGGAGTGGATTGCTGTTTTACATGAGTTTGGGGCCAGAAGAAGTGAGATGTTGGCAAAAGTATGAAAAGGTTGCGAACTGGGAATAAGAACAGCTAGTCTTTGGTTCTGGCTCTAACCTTGGATCAAATCACCATCCATGTCAACCATCATCTCTAGGGACTACTGATAAATTAAGACAGGGACTTGAGTTGAATACCTGAAAAGACATTTTGTCATTTGGAAAATTTTCAAAGGGTTAAAAAAGCACTTAAAATATTTTTGGCATTCCTCTAAATAGTTATTCTGATTTCTTTTCTGACTTTCCTCCTTATAGAACCTTAATATATAGGATTGGGGGAAGATTCTTGACTCTATGTTTTGCATCTTTTTCCATATCCCCCTTTAGCTTTTCCACCTATTGTTCTGTAACTAATTTCTCTAACTAGTTCAGACCTGCCATGATTAAACATAATTTCTTTTTTAGAGTAACTGGGCCCTGGTTATCCAATGTATGTCTAGGTGGGAGTTTGTGACTTGAAGCAAATAATTTTTTAAAATATATTTTTATTGATTTTAGAGAGGAAGAGAGAGGAAGGGAAAGAGAGATAGGAACATCAATTATGAGAGAGAATAATTGATTGGCTGCCTTCTGCATGGCCCCCACCAGGGATCGAGCCCACAACCCGAAGGGGGAATTGAACCGTGACCTCCTGGTTCATAGGTTGATGCTTAAACACTGAGCCACAATGGCCAGGCTAAGATACTGTTATTTATGAAACCATTCTGCAAAAAAATTTACTAGCTTAAAGAGAATAGAACTATTGTCTGAATTGAGCTGTTTCCCCAAATCTTATACTCTTGGATGTCAAGGAGTACTGACATGTATTGTTACACAGAGCTGATGCCTTCCTCTGCCTCACCTCTTCAAACTGAATTTGAAGAAAATGATTTTTCCCACTACTGTATTTTTTTTTTTACTACAAAGGGGTAGCACTTAACACTGTTTTCTTTTAAAATCCAACTCAAGTTTGATCTCAACTATTTGAGACTTAACTCTCCTGCTGAATTAACAAATTAAACTTTAGTGCCCATGCATACTTATATATCATTGTACTGTTGCCATTGAGTTAGCTATATTTTTGTTGGTTTTACTTGATTGCTCTTCTTTGACCTCTAAATTAGAGCACTGAGACACTGGGATGTTAGCTTCCTCGTGCATCCTGTACAAATAATTTCAATAAAGAACTCTTTACTGTTTTCATGCCTACATTGAAAATGAGCTTTTGATTTGTTCATGTTAGGATGAAAAATTGAAGGAAATTTAAATTTGACCAGTGCCAGATTTCTTAGATGATATATTTTGTTTGACTAGTTTGTCCAGAAATATTAAAGGCTAGACAGCAAACCCAAGTAATACCCTCATTACATAACCTATGTAATCAAAATGCCTATGCAGATACTTTCAAAATAGGGATATGGCTGGGAGGTCAGTGTACATTACTGAGTTTCATAAAATATCTAGGTTACTTTATCCACAGCTTTTAAAACTTTTGGCATACTGTTTTTTTATGCTGTTTGTTAGTATGATTGTTATTGTGGAGTGTTGGTGTGCAATTATTCTGTGGTCTATATATCATTAAAGTTTTCTAGCCTTGAGGAAAACCAAGATGGCAGCATAGGTAAACACCTAAATAGCTGCCTCACACAACAATATCAAAACTACAACTAAAATACAAAACGGACATCATCCAGAACCACCGGAAAGCTGGCTGAATGGAAATTCTATCAATACAACTAGAAGAAAAGATGTGTAGGAAGCTCTTATAGCCCTGAGAATCTGTGCCCAGATCCCAGAGTGAAAATACCTTTGAGTAGAGAGAAGACCTGGGTTTAATTATCACTCCACCACCCACTAGTTATATAACACTGTATAACATTTACTGGTCTCCCAATTTCTTTATACAGAGAATGAAAATACTGAATTACATCAGTTGGGGAGGGGGGAGAGGGGAGAAGGGTAGAGGAGGGGATGAGCACAACTATAATTCTTCCTAACTGTGACAATTCTATGATTTGTCTAGTGTTGGAGAATTTGAACCAGCTCTTGCTGACTTTTGGTTTTCATGTCTAAAGTACCTTGACATTTTGTTGGGCTATGGGATGTGGATCAAGAGTCTAAAAATTCTTGCCAATGAATATTGAACCATAATGAATTGTATTATTCTGATGCAAAATGTAATTACTTTCTTTGGCCTTAGATTCCCTTTAAGGGAAAGGAAATGATCCTTGTATATGTCATTACTATAATTATATAAGAACACTGCAGGGCTTTGATGCTAAAGCAGCCATACTCAGTAAATATGGTCTATGGTAGCTCAGAAGATCTAGGGAGACCAGAAAAGTTGTTTCCTTTTAGGTATCTTAACTAGACATTATAGATGGATTTGAGTGTGAATCCATTTAAAAGTTTTTTTGAGGAAAATTGTTTTCACATGAGTGTCTTTAACCATTATTGATGGGGTTTCAGGAGGAGCACAGTAAATATGTATAATATATGACTGGACACCCACTATGCAAAATACTTTCAAGATTGCAAACCTGGCATATACCTACCCTGGTGAGCTCCTATCCTATAGTAAAGACAGCTAACTAAATATTAAAAATAGTCAAGGCAATTGTACCTCGAGGCAGTAGTAGCAATTTCTCTGTTACATTACATCTTGAAGTATTTACAGCTAGAGCATGACCTTTAAGCCCCAAATTTAGTCACCCTTAAGGTGAGTATTGTTTTGACCCATATTTTCATTTAGTCTTTTTTTTTACACTTGTTTAACCTTCAGTGATACTGCCAGTGCTTGCCATTAACAGGACCTTAGGGAGACTGTACAGGCTAGACATGAGAGACAGGACCCATCTATATCTAATGATTCAGGTTCATGTTTCCTAGTTTTTTTTTATGTGTTGAGACTTTTCAACCATTTTAGTATCCTATCCTACTGAACCCTGGTTGTGTTTTTTCCCCCTAAGGACATTCTGGGTATGTGAGACATGAGGCCTACAAAAAACTCTAAAGAGCTCCATATTCATTATATCTTTCCTTTTGAGAATCTGGACAAGCTCCAATTAATTTAAGGATGGCTTGCAGACTATCTGAAGAAAGAGATAATTTGGGGAGTTTGTTGTGGTTATCCTGTCTTTGACTATAAGGACTTTAACTTCCTGCAAGAGCTCCTTTTTGAAACAGAATAGAAGCTAGTTTCAAATCCTACACCCCCACACACATTTTGAATTTACAGAATGAATTTGAGTCTATCCTTCAGAAGTAGGCTCAAGTGAGGTCTATAACAGCAAGCATACTTGGTCCCCATTTTAGAAATAAAGAATAGAGATGCAAAAGAATAAATTGCTTCCTTTGAAATCTCATAGCCACTTAGGAGAGAGAGAACAAACCTTTGCCTTCTGATGAACAGGCCTCAAAAATTATTTCTACTTTCCTTTGGCAGACTGGTTCAAAGTGCTAAGGATTTGTTAATAAGTAGTACCAATGTGATCTGTCATAGCCTTATTTTGGCAGACCTATTTTCATTGTCCTTATCATTCCCTTATTATTTTTATAAATTGAGGGTTTGTTACTTGAAATTGCTAAAAGGTAGAATAAGAGACTCAAGGGCCTGTGTTAAGCTATTTACCAGATTCCTAGCCTTCTGCACCTTGTTTTTCCTTTTGTGTAGATTTCCTTAGCTGTCATAATAACTGAGTGTGTGTGTGTGTGTGTGTGTGTGTGTGTGTGTGTGTGTGTGTATACTAGTAGATATATATTGATTTCGGAAAGGAGAGGGAGAAATAGGACATCAATGATGAGAATCATTTGATTGGTGGCCTCATGCATGCCCCCTACTGGGGATTGAGCCCACAACTTGGGCATATATTCTGATCAGGAATCTAACCATGATCTCTTGGTTGATAGGTTGATGCTCAACCACAGAGCCAAATCAGCACAACTGAGATTTTATATCACTGTAATGATTATTGGTTTCTCTGAATATTCTGGGACTCTGGTCATGTTCCTTCTATGTAAGCGGTTCAAGAAATGTCCCACGTAGATTGACTAGAAAACAGTTGTTTCCATTGGCAGTGTCTCCAGCATCTAACTAACATGAATTAAAAGAGGAATCCTGTGTGAACAGCATGGCTCAATGGTTGAGTGTCGAGATTTATATTGATTTCAGAGAGGTGGGGAAAAAGAGAGAGAGAGAGAGAGAGAGAGAGAGAGAGAGAGAGAGAGAGAGAGAGAGAGAAACATCAATGATGAAAGAAAATCATTGATCGGTTGCCTCCTGCACACCCCCTACTGGGGATTGAGCCCACAACTGGCATGTGCCCTTGACTGGAATCGAACCTGGGACCCTTCATTTTGCAGGCTGATGCTCTATCCACTGAGCCATACTGGCTAGGGATAAAAATATATTTTAAAAGAGAAGAATCCTACAAAACTAGGTGAGAGAGACACTTTGTGGTAAATTGTTCAGTTATTAAAAGAGTGCTTTATAAAAGAAGCCTGAGACAATATGAAGAAGAGTTCTTATAGAACTCAGGATCAAACAATATTGGAGCTTTTCTAAGTAGCTTGATAACTCTTTTGGTTGGGAAAGCTTTATCTGTTTCTTCTATTTTCAACACTTTGATTTTTAAAAAAATATATTTTATTGATTTTTTACAGAGAGGAACGGAGAGAGATAGAGAGTTAGAAACATCGATGAGAGAGTAACATAAATCATTTGCCTCCTGCACACCACCTACTGGGAATGTGCTTGCAACCAAGGTAAATGCCCTTGACTGGAATCGAACCTGGGAACTTTCAGTCCGCAGGCCAAAGCTCTATCCGCTGAGCCAAACCAGTTTCGGCAACCCCTTGATGTTTTGACCCTTGACTTTTTTATGGTGAAAACACTAGAACATTAATAATCCACAATATAGAAGACTGCTCACTAGTAGAGACTGGAGAATAAAGTACAGTATGAGAATTTTGGTAATAATTCACCTCTAAATTTCTCTTTGTGATGAGGTTAAATTCAAGGGAAAAGCTGGAATGAGTAGTAAAAGCATTTGCTTTTCTCTAGTCTGGTAGTTAGAATATAGGCTTCTCCACAGTTCTTAATTTCCTCCCCTCAATCCACATGGAAAAAAAGGTTAGACATTACTTAATCTAATTATTAATTGCTCTTTGAGACAGACTTTCCTAGCATACTGCATTTCAGTAATTTATTTTTCTTTTATCTCTTCTCCAGATCTTCCTCAGAAGAACAGGCTTGTTGCTTTACAGTGTCAGTGACCTATTCCCTTTGACGATCCCTAGGTGGAGATGGGGCATGAGGATCCTCCAGGGGAATAGCTCACTACCACTGGGCAACAACCCTAGGCCAGGAGGTTTTACCAAGAATCTTTCCTGGGCCCAGATAGGAAGGTGAAGTCTCAAGACATCCTCCACACATCAGAGGTGGGTAAGCTGTTCAAGCACAATTAAGATACTGTCTTTAATTTTTCATTATCCATTGCATTTAGATTTCCACTGAAATTATTTTGATCATTATGAACTGTGTCTGCTTTGTTAAAAACAGCTTCCTAACTCACCTGGGAAGCAACTGTGTGAGTGATGGGTGAAAATGGTCTTGGGCAGAGGCTGATTAGGTGGCTGCAGGTTGGGAGATGGTCCAAGTGTAGTAAGCCCTGACTATAAAGGACAAGATATTTTCCTGTTTATGCCATAGTTGCCAATTCTGTGAGGAAATTGTATTAGTTTTACCTCTAAGGATCTAAACTCTGTAGAGATAGTTTCTATAACTCATAATTTGAATCTTCCCATAACTCTAGTGAGTACTCAGTTAATACTTCTTTATGGCATACATACAGTTTCCTTTGTTGTTTTTCCCCTTTTTTGTAACTCCTGATTATTCCCTTTATAGTATCTACCAAATTGTTCATCCTTCTGAAAAACAATCCAGAGAACAAGAAATCTGAACACACCAAAGGAAGATCAACATGCCTGGCACTCTAGCATTTTAGAATAGCAGAATAAAGTAAGTTGGTGTAATTATGTGGGGGCCTCTTTGGAGCTAATAGCTGTTTGTCAGATGTTTTTCTGCAATGGGCTATGGTGGTTTTTGTGCAGGAGGGGCCTGAATGTGAGATGGGAGGATGACCAGTAACAAACAAAGGCATACCTCGGAGATATTACAATTTGGTTTCAGACAACCAAATACAGCAATAAAATGAGTTGTAAGCTTTTTGCTGGTAGAGGATGTTGTAAAAAAAAAAAAAATGCAACATCTGTGAAGCACTATAAAGCCAAGTGCAATAAAATGAGGTAAGTTATGCTTGTATTGCCAACTGGGTTCAACGAAGCAACTTAATGATTGATTAATCTATACCAGTGTGTTAAGAGTAGTCTCACTTTATCTGTTCTTTATTTTTTACTGCATAAATACTTTGCCACTCTTAGAGGCCTAAATATATAGAAATTTAAAACAACGTTTTTGTTTTGTTGCTGAAAGGGTGGCTCTTTTTCTTATATCCTCTTGTGAGAGAATATATCTGCAGTAGTGTTAGAGGAAAAGTCAGTGTTATAATTGTGATGGGTGGGAAAATCAAGTTAGTTTTCTAAAGGGGTGGTGAAAGATGAAGAAAGAAAAATAAGAGCATTGTCTAGGACCTCTCTAATGGCCCTTAATAATAATATTCGCTCACCTGTGGTATCTCATTTGGCTCTTGGAATTTCTTATAAGCAGTTGTAGTAGAATATTAAAGAGGCACATTCTGTGTTTAAATCCTCTGCTACTCATGTTGTTGTTACTATAATTGTTGATAGTGATATAAGTAGTATTTGTACTAATCATAAGTTATTGTAGTTATTAATGTTCTTTTTGGTTTTCTTTTGTTCTCTTTGTGATGTTTCTCATGGCTGTTGTGCCCTTCACTATATTTTGTCTCTTCTACTTCTAATGCCTTGCCTTATCTCTTTCACTCATAAGTGTGTATTTCCTTGCTTATCTATTTCTTCCTTGAATGTCTTTGGTCTTTGTTCTCTCAAGTGTCTTACTCAATTCTATAATCATCTTGCTTATTTCTTCTGTGTATCTTTGTCTCGTTTTCCTTTTTGTTCTTAAAAGTTGTTTGTGCCTTGTCTTAAATGTCTCTCATTTTTTCATTTTGTTATTGTCTTTATTCTCCTAGCTCTTTTCTTTCACTGTTCTTCCCATTGTCTCTGAGTCATGCTGAATGCTTTTTGCTCATTTCTTGTCTTATCCACCTCTTTCCCCCCTTGATTGTTCATCATTCTCTCCTATTTTGTGAACTCTTGATTGTTTGTCATTCTCTCCTATTTTGTTAGTTTGACATTACCTCTTTCTGGTTCTGGCCTCCTTTCTGCTGTTTCTACTCTTCATCTTGGATTTCTCTCTTCTGTATGTCTTTTCTGCCTCTCTTGGGCCATGTTTGTTTCCTGCTCTATGTGTTTCTTTGTTCTTTGTGTCTTTCCATTTCACCTTTCTTCTCTCTGTTCTCTTGCTTTTTCCATCAACCCACCTTTGGGTATTTCAGCCTCTTCATGAGCCTGTGTATCCTGCAATCCTCTCTCCGTGCATATTTTTTGTATATGTCTCTGTGTGTGGACCCATGTGTGTATGTTTGTGGCAAAGGGGCTTCGTAACCCCTTCCCAATAGGTGCAGAGTGTCTGCAGCTGTTCCTTATGCCAGGCTGTCCTGTGAGATAATTCAAAACTAGTAGAAGGCCCAAGGATCCAAAGACCTAAGATGTGCAGAAGGTGGAAGGCTCATAATGGATATAATTCCCAACACAGAAGACAGAATTGAGACCTGTGGACTAAAGTATAAAGCCTGTGTCCCAAGATAGATGGAAACCTCAGCCTCGAGAGCATTAGAAGCCTTAGATCCATTATGTACATAAAGAAGGTGGCCCTTGTCAAACTGAGTTGGATGGAAGTTCTCATGTCTTGAGTTAGACAAAAGACTGAAGACCCAAGATAAAAGAACAAAGCCTGTGAGTGGGGATACATGGAAAGCCTGAGACTTGAGTCACAAGACCCAAGATAAAAAAAAAACTTAGCTTGAACACAGAAGACTCAAGGATAGGAGGTATCACACCCTCATAAAGACCCAGGAGTCAAGCCTCTCTATGTGGTCTTGAAGACTCAAAAGAGACAGATATCTTAAGACTATGGGACCCTAAACCTCAGCTCTATTCTGCTATCCTCCCTACACTTGGACATTTTCAGTTCTTCCTTTCCAGTTTTTATACCTCCATTTATGCCCACTAATTTTGTGATATCCTTTTTGATGTTGTATTACCTTAAAGAGATATCTTGAGATTGGCAATATTATGCCTGGACCATTGTAAGGTTGTTTTTATTATAGTTTTGAGTCATTTATTAAGTTTGAGGTATTTTTTTAAACTTCTTTCTTTCTTTCTTTTTTTCATCTCCACTCTGTTTGAGAGACATATTAGTGAATTGTATTTCAGTCCTCCCTTTTCCTCAGAAGCTCTAGTCTGATGAGAAGAGGAAAATGTTAGGCCATGTAGAGAAAATGTGAAGAGATGCTCTAGGCCAATATGAATATTTAGATAGAAAATACACAGATGTGCTGGCCTGCTGAGAAGTACCAGCCAGTAACATCTGATTTCTTTGAGCTTAGATGAACAAGATTCCTGGATTTTGGGATTCCTAGTGATGGTTAGTAAAAAGAAGAGTAGTTCTGGAACAGAGTGATACTCCAAGGAGACAGCCTGAACTCCCTGCTCATAGTAGTGGCCTAATAATTTGATAGACTGAACCAACCCTGCCCTAAGCTTTAATATCAACCTCTGGGCTTAAAGGTGACAGAATTTGGAAGCAGTTAGGTTTAAATTTTCCTTGATTTTCTCCCCCTTATCATGAGGAAAAAGAATTTAAATAATTGAGATATATATGAAAATAAGGTGTTTTTATTAATAGTGTATTGCCAGCTATGTACATTGAAGGATTTTGTACATCAGGGATCATCACACTCTTTCTGTAAAGGGTGAAATGGTAAATATTTTAGTCTTTGCAGGCCTATGGTCTCTACATTCGCTTCTTCTCCCCACCCCTAATCCTTTAAAAAGGAAAAGTATTCTTATCTCATTAGCCAAGTGAATTTGTTCTGTGGGCCATAGTTACCACTGATGTAAATGCTGAATAATATTAATTTCCTTGTGTGAGTCTGTCCCTGTTATAGGCACTAAGGACTCAATGATTATTTATCATCACATCCAGGTGACCTAAATAAAAATATGTGAATATGCTTTTAAACTATGAAAGTGTTTAAAGACTTATAAGTTTCAAAGCTGGTAAATATTGATTATATATCAACAGTATGTAATACTATGCAGATATTAGAAATTAAGTTATTGACCAATGAAAGTTTCATATATTTATAGTTATCGTGTTTCTGCTGCTTTGATGATTTTGAGTAAATACAGTATTTTTAAGTAGCAGAAAAGAAAACACATAGAAACTGCTTTTAAACTGTAAAATATACAGCAAACACAAGGGATTAAGCTATTTTGATGACTTACAATGGGCCATATAACATGCTAGACACTATGGATAACAGAAAAAAACAATATAGAAGTAAAATTTTCAGATAAGAAATACATTTTAAAGTGGTTTGTAAACTAAAGCACTAAATATCAATGGGCTAAATGTTATGAATGAATGAATTAATATTAACTGCCTTTTATATGCCAACTATTTTGGGTTCTGTGAAATCTAAGGTAATACTCCCCAAGTAATAAGAGGGAGGTTTTTATTATAAGGAAATTAAATAATGCTTATTTTAACCAATCAGATAAGACTTTACTGATAATATCAGGTTATATTACCTGATAACAGGAAAATGTAATGAATGACATTGAGCTTTCTAAACTATAAAGTGCTGTATAAATATGACATTAGGCATTTTCTCTGTGAATAAAACTTTTCGTGAGATAAACATTGTCTATAAAATTCACCCACTATGAAAGAGGTAGTATAAATAGTTATATAAACTTGAGGTTTTGAATAGTTGTTAAATGAAAGAATATCAGTTGCCTACTACGTGAACTCACTGTTACAGGCACTAAAGAGATACACATTTATAATTTTATTGTGCCTACAGTTTAGAATAAGGCAATACATGTTAGTATTTTGTGAACTCTAAAGCACCATATAAATGTCACTGTTGATTTTTCTCACTTGGTGCAAAATACAATAAAAATTTGAAGTATTAACTATTGAATACTCTGAATATAATATGTAAAAGATTAAGTTTATGATGAATGCAAGACTGGATAATAATTGTCTACTATGTTCCAGTCTTTTTGCTAAGCATCGAGGACCGAAAACATCTTTATTCTGTCCTTAATAGCTGAACATAATATATGAAATCAATTTATAAATCTTGAACTGCCATATATATATAAGCAATATCTGTTGTATGAATATTGATTATTCTCATCCCCAGAGATAACAACTAGTGATGCAAAAATTTATCACCCTTATTATTGAACCAGTAACAGAGATCTATGTGTAAATTTAGAAATCCTAGTGTTCTATATGGATATAAAGAATAAACTGTTGGCTTAATGAATGATGAATGATTATTTTTTATGAGGCTTAAAACTACACATGCCCTAATATATAAATATGATTTCATCCTTATGGGATGCTAATAGAAGGAAATAATGTAATAGGTATTAGCTCCAGACGAAAACGTGCTTAACTACTGCTAGGCTTATTTAATGATAAAAACATCAGGAAAATAGAACTGTGCAAAGCAGTATGCTAAATGCTGAGCTACATGGAAAAATACAATTCAGACCAGAAAGCTACTTGTTCCCTTGTCTAACTGAAGAGATGGATTTTTTTTTTTTTTTAAAGCAAGGTGTTATTGTTCTCCATCAGTTTTTTAAATGCTGAATGCTAAAGATGGAGGTGAATGAGATCCATCTTGGCCTGTCTTAAAGACATTTAAGAAGTAAAAATAAATGGCTCAGCAGTGCTTTTAGATTTCATTTGATAAGCATAGTATATTTTATGTGCAATAAATTATTCTAGGTCCTGAGCATAAGAGCAGTGAAATGGGCCTAGTCTAAAGGTCTTTAGATTGAACACAGATCATAGCTGCAGATCTGAAAACATCTTTTGATTTTTTAGTAAATATTTAAGTGCCTGTTTTCTGGGAAGTACTATGCTCATTTAATGAGGTAGGTATAGCTCAGAAATCCCATTGACTTGCCTTGGAGATTAAAAAACAAAAGAAGGCAAAAAAAAAGTCATGGTCCTTTTAATTTAATATGATATTTCCCCTAGTTCTGGATAGTCTCAACTTCACATGCTCAGTGACCTAAATCAAAGACTGTTAAAAAGGCTCAGGATTTCTCCTTTAATTCATTAAGTTTCTGCTTCTATTATAGTTTAAGACAAGAAACTAAGATGAAAAAACTGGTTTTAAAAATATTTGCTCATTGGCCTAGCTTAGAGTCAGGAAGCCAGTTGAGCAATAAACATGATTTTTTCTGTAAACATTTATTCACTTTGAATAAAGTGCCATCCTTACCTGTGAGGAGAGTTAAGAGATTCCAAAGACTAAAATGCACTTTCATTTCACTAGCTTATGGTTGAAACACCAAGAACAAATTTTATTACTGAAGGTCTTTCATTGAGTAGCTGTGATATTAAGACACTGAGAAGGAATGATTAAATAGGTCACCTTCTCTTTGACATGCTTTGTAGAGTGGGAATGAGAGACCTTATTTATTTTATTCATGCAAACATTGAAGAAGATGATACTAAAAGAAATAGATCTGGTACAAAAGGCATTTTATCTTGGAGATGCAATAAAAAAAACAAGGCATGGGATAAAACAAATAAGTATCTATTTTAAGGCATTGTGCTAATTTCTAGACAGAAAACAAAGTTCTTGTCTAAAAGACACTTGTTTTTAGAAAATATTAAAAAAAATAAAAGACACTTGTTTTTAACTAGCTTGGAGACTAGAATATAAAAGGTTACTTTGCATTCGCTTTTTTTCATTTATTCATTCATTCTACAGGTATATTTGAGTGCCTATTTTATATAAAGTAATTTGTTAGATTCTCACTTGGCCCAAGAGATGAAAAATGTATGCTTTTTCAGAAAAATTAAAGAAAAGAAAAAAACAACTTTGCTTTTGGGTTATTTTCTTGTTAAGGGTTGATTTAAGACCCTGAGTAACATTGTGTGGTTTAATTCTTTCTCCAGATTTCTTCTATTACTCTGGCCACTACAATAAGCAGGGTTTTCCACTGAAATAGCTCCTTAAGTTCCAGAAACCCTCTTTAGACATTTCATTTTTCCTAGTTCATGAAAAACGATTGGCTACTCTTGGATAGAAGGAGGGATGACAACTAATTCCCAAACCCCGTGTCCATGGTACCAGCCTTGGAGAACCATTCATATTCAAGCCACAATTGGTTTTGAAACATTTAACCGTTTTATCTATTTTCAGTTCTTTATCCTTTACATTCTGTCTAAATGGATCTGAGGAACAATCCTCATATAGTACATATCAAGAATGGAGATGGAGACATGATTTCTCTTTAACAACAGATTTTGACTTAACCTTTAAAAATCGCCTCTCAGTATCAAAACCTGGTCATGGAAGGACTTATGTATGGTGGAATATGGTCAGTGAATGAAAGTGGCTTAACAATTTACCATGCTTAAATTTTAAGAGTAATAAAAATGAGAAATAATTGGCAAAAATTGGAAGAAAAAATAACAAACAAAAAATTAAAAACTCAAACCTTAAAGTCCAGGCCCCACAGGGGTTTGACCTTTTCTATTTTTAAATCACTCACAGAGGGTGGGATAGGAGGAAGAGTGAAAGAAAAGGTCAAACTTGTTTCTAAGGGCAGCCTGCCTATTTTTGGATTGGTCTTTAAGTTTTTGAGAAACACTCTTGGCTGAATGATATTATCAACTAAATCTTGGGTTAGATAATGTGATTTATCAATTTGACCTCCATCATAAAGTAGTGTTAAATCTAAAAGCAAAGTTCATTGTAAAGGAAGAGAACTTTATAGTTTACTGTAATTTACAATACTTTAAAACAATATATACTTGAGTTTACATGGCAAGCCATCAATAACATGCATAAATGGAGAAGAAAATAAATGTGGAGGTAGCACATTTGAGGATTTGGGATGATATTTCTGATTTTTGCTTTGTACAGTTTAATTTTGCCATCAGGTACATCTGTAATGTTTGGCTTTTCATATGTGGTATCAAATGGACTAAGTTATTTACCGATAACTGAGACAAATTGGGGTATTTTTTTCTAATGTAAAATAAAAGCTAATATTTTGAAAACATTTTGGTGTGACAACTTCTGCATCGTCTCTTCACATGTTATTCCCCCCCCCTCCCCCTTTACTAATTTGGGTGATTAATAAATTATTTGTGGTCTTATAACCAGACAAACAGTGGGTCCATGCTGCCTGTCTACTCAAGCCACTAAAGCAGAGACAGGGTTGGGTCATATATGAGTGTTTATTCCCAAACTGCTGGCACCAGCAGTATCAGAGCAGCAGGTCAGCCACAAATCCGCTCTGCAGCTCACCGTAAGTCGGCAGCTTATATAGGAAAAGCACAAAGGAAAAGTAGGCAAAAGGACTAGGGTTCTTCAAAGGGCTTAGTGGTGTGCAAGGGCTGGGGTTACATAGGAAAATAGCCAAAGGGAGTGCCAGATGGGCAGTTAACAGGTAAGCAGGTTTACAAAGGCCTGCAGGTATGGAGAAAGAGCTGGGGATTTTCAAAGGGCTTGCACTCTGGTTTCTGTAACAAATCTTTGTTAATCTTTCCATAATAGGCAGCACCAAATGGAGGTGGGGTGGAGTGGGGGAGGGGGAGGGAGGAGAAGTGTTGCAACTCCAGGTCAGTTCCAGCCAGGGTAGAAGTGCCTTTGCCATTTAAAAAAAATAGTTAACAGAGCATGATTAAGATTTCTTACAATACTAGCTGGTTCCCCACATTGTATTTCATTTCACCACTGCTGTTTATCTCAATCTATGAGATTAGTTTTCTATCAATTAAGACTTGTCAGAAAGATTAAAGTAGCATATTCCTTTAAGTTCCTCACAATTATGGTTATGCCACAACAACAAATAATATATTGCTACCTGATTCTCTAGAACTGGCTCACCTCTTAATTTATCCCTGGAAATGATATTCAGGGCTTTTATAATGCTATTAGAAACCTGGGGCACAAAATTCATGCACTGGGGTGGGTGTGGGTGGTGTCCCTCAGCCCAGCCTGCACTCCAATCTGGGACTACTCAGGGGATGTCCAACTGCTGGACATCCCTCTCACAATCTAGGACTGCTGACTCCTAACCGCTCACCAGCTTGATTCCCCCTGATATCTGCCTGCCAGTTTGATCACCCCCTAACCACTTCCCTGCCGGCTTGGCTTGATTGGCCCAAATGCCCTCCCCTGCCAGCCTGGTCACCCCAGTGGAAGCCATGCAGAGCAGCAGCCTTGAACTTCTCCCACCCCAGTGGGGCTGAGGAAATTCCAGCGGCAGGCACACCCTCGGGGACCCTGGCAGCAGGTGTGCAGAGCATCCGCCAGAGAACTGCAGGAATTGAGGGTAGCTGCATGTAGCAGCAAGCCCTGCCCCCACTTTGTGTGCCACCATGTTATGATGGCATTATGGTGTGAGGGTCAATTTGCATATCACCTCTTTATTATATAGGATTATCCAGCCAGGTCATGTCTATATGAAGAAAGCCTACCATTACCAGCATAACAAAATGGTTAAAACAATACATTCTGCAGGGCTCTACAGATGGAGATTGTTGTTGCAGTCCAGTGCCAAGGGGGTGAGAAGGTCTCTTTTGGTTTGGGCCCTATGATGTTTCTGAGTCATAAAGACAGTAATCCTAAGGAACAAGGCCCCTTGGTACTGTTGGCAGCAATATGAATAAACAGTACCCCACATATCAAAAACTAACCAGCCAACATCTTAATATGTCCATTACTATAAGGGAGGAAGAAATTATGAGCACAATTTATATTTTAGTTATTAGTTACTTAAAGATGATAGCTAGAATACCCAGAAAAGTCAGACATTCACTACAAGTTACAGCAGCAACTTTTAGAGAAAACATTCCTGCATCCTTTTCCCTGACAGTGGCTTTTAACATATAAACATCCTTATTCATGTCTTTCTTCTCTAAATGAATAGAATAATTCTATATATTAGCTATACATGTCCCAACGCCTACTAGGTCAAGGTCTGTCTTCCATAGGTTTCTCAATTGCCAGCTTCAAGGCAGTTGGGAGTGACAAGATGCATGTCTCAGAATCCTTTCCATTTCTCCTCTTGTTAGTCTATTGTCCTTACTCTGCTTATGTCTGTCCAACTGGCTACCACATCCCCTCAAGGATCTTGGCTCTGAATTCTTTCATGGGAAAGGAACAGAGTCTCTTTTGAAAATGCTTCCTGCTGAGGAGGGGCAATGGTTTCTCTCAGAGCCAAGAGGTCCTTGCTGTCTGAGGGACAATGAGGCCAGGGCACAGAAGGAGGTGGCAATGATGTCTGGAGGTGATATTTTCTAAGTGTGAATGTGGCTTGTAACCTGGTGGAAAGACTGTGTTATAACAGTATTACTGGGCAAAAGTTAGAACGGAAAGAATTACAATAAATGGTTTGGTGAAAGGAAACCCCCTCTTCCCTCCACATTTCAGTTCTAATAATTCCCGGTTGAAACACAATTCCTATTTCTAAACAACCATTGGGTGAGGGTGGAAGTAGGTCCACAAGGCAGGGCACAAATTAATTACAGAAATACAGACCTCTCTGAACAACCCCAACCTCTGGGCCCAGCCCTTGTGACTGGTCCCGCCTCCTCCTCACTGCTCATGGCCAAGCTAACCTCAAGGACTGTGGGCAATTGTGTAATCCCAACGCACTTCCCACCCCCTCCGCCTTCCTCCCATTACCAGGAGGCACTGTGTGTCTCTCTCCCAATGCTCAGTCTGTGGGATGGAAACCATTGCAGGTGTACAGTGAAGACCCTGGCAGACACCCCAGGATCCTGGCGACCAAGGCCAACATCAACAGGGATCCATGGAAAAATCGTGTTGGTACCTCGTGACCTGACTCTGTGCAATGAGCATGCTCCACACTAGAGGTGCTCTTCCCTAAACCCCAGTCTATTATGAGGAAAACATCAGAGAACCCAAAAGGCATCCTTCAAAACACAGGACCAGCATTGTGCAGCCAGACACTGCCCAGGGTGGCCCTGAGAGGGAGCGGCTGATAAGCTTGGAAAAGACAGACAAGAGAATGAAAGCTGGCTCTCGGTGGCATGCTGCCTCCTGAGAGACAGCATCCAAGCCCTCAAGCCGAGTCTTAATTTGGCAGCAGATGCCACGAGGCAAAGTAAGGGCTTGGTCAAGATGTTTACAGCATTCTCGAGGGTTTCAATCCTACTCCATTACAGGCACCTGATCAAACTTGGTTCACCTTCAGCCTATATAGCTCAGGCACTTGGGGCCACGTGTTCAGGTTCAAGCTTACAACTCTAGCTGTTGGATAAAACTGTGCTGGGAGGCTCTGCCTTCCAAGCTGGGGCATGTACATGGCCAAGAGAGCACTGGGTCCTCTCATGAGTCCCAGTCTTGAACCTGTCCAAATGCTGTAGTCCCTCTCCACACAGCACCCTCCAAGCTCATCAAGGTCATTAAAAACAAAGACGACTGGGAGACAGATGGGGCTAAAAGCACTGTGGGGTTCTGGGT